CTCGCACGTTTTTGTCTCCGCTCAGGAAGGAGGGCTCCAGAGCAGGGTTCCCTCTAAGCTGGGTTAGGGTGAGCCAGCTCACAGTCTTTTAGCCTCCGGCTTGCACGGTTTTGTCTCCGCTCAGGAAGGAGGGCTCCAGAGCAGTGTTCCCTCTAAGCTGGGTTAGGGTGAGCCAGCTCACAGTCTTTTAGCCCCCGGCTCGCACGTTTTTGTCTCCGCTCAGGAAGGAGGGCTCCAGAGCACACTCATTTAGGCAGCTGGCAAATCGCTGGCTCACAACTTTTATTGCCAGGAGCTCACAAAGTAGAATTTTTGCTCACAAGACTCCACAGCTTAGAAGGGAGCATTGGAGGGGATCTGTAGATGCTCAGTCCTGGAAGCACAATCTGGGCCTCCCCCTGTGTTAGGGTTGCCAGTCTCCAGGTAGAACGTGGGGGTCCCCTGGAATTACAGCTCATCTCCAGACTACAGAGATCAGCTCCCCTGGAGAAGATGGATGCTTTGGAGGGTGGACTCTGTGTCATTGTGCCCCACTGAGGTCCCTGTCCTCCCCAGGCTCCACCCCCAAATCTCCAGGAGGTTCCCAACCTAGAGCTGGCAATACACACACACACACCCCTCTGCTGGTGGCCGGGGAGGACCTGGCTACCCTACCCTGTGGGCAGATTCTGGGCTCTTGACTGCTGAGTGGAGCCTCCCTGTTGAGAGTCAGGGTGTACCTCAAGATGTCAGGAGGCTAGGGAACAAGATGAGTATGGGGTTGGATGATTTCCCATCAGTGGAAAGGCTGTGGCTTCTCGGGTTAGGAAAAGAAAAGGCCAGTAAGGGGGTGGACACGATAGAGGTTTATAAAATGAAGCACGTGGAGGAGAGAGTGAGAGAGCTTTTTCTCCCCTTTGCACAGTGTTGAAACTCAGGGCAGCCTGTGAAGCTGATGGGCAACAGATTCAAATAAAAGCTAATTTTTTTCAGTTTATTTGTTAACGTGCATCCTGCCTGTTTTGGCCAAGCAGGGCTACCATGCTTCTTTGCTCTGTGAGTACTTTAATTAGCAAGGGCTAGTCTGGTTTAGTGATTAGGAGGGTCGGACTAGCATCAGGAAGAACCAGGTTTGAATTCCCAGTTGTGTCAGGCAAGCTGGCTGTCACAGTCTCAACCTAACCTACCTTGCAGGGTTGTTGTGAGGATAAAAAGCAAGAGAGGATAATGATGTAAGGCATGTTGGGTTCCCATTGGGAGAAAGGGAGACAATTAATTAAGTAAATAAATTGTGAAGTTCACTGCTGCCAGGTGTAGTGATTGCCGCAGTCATAGATGGCTTTAAAAGAGAATCAGATTTGTCGGAGAGAGGCCTATTAATGGCTACTAGCTGTGGTGCACAAAGGGAATGTTTATATACAGAGGCAGAGAGCCTCAGAATACCAGTGCTAGGAGGCAACATCAGGGGTTCTGCCCTATTTGTTGACACTTTGGTTAGCTGCTGTATGAAACTGGATACTGGAGTAGATGCCCACTGCTGGAGGCAGGAACTATCTTTCGATAGAATTACAGGAACAACTGGGGAGACGTTTATATAATGCAGAGATATTATATTGAAATTTATACAATTAACCACAAAGTGAAATACAACATTTAAAGTGCTATGTACATAAATTCATAGAAAATCATCTAGCAGTTCGAAAGCAAGAAATTGCAAGTAGATAAATAGGTACTACTTTGGTGGGAAGGTAACAGCGTTCCATGCGCCTTGGTGTGTCGTCTCTTTTGCTTTCCAATAATTTTCTCTTTGCTTTTCAAAGCTTATATTCCAGATAGGAAACAACAGCCTTCCAGTCCGCTGCGTGCAGATTGGGAATTTCAACTGGGAGGTCTCCTTATATCTATCAGGAATTGTCTTTCTGCATTGCTTCTTAGATGTCCCGTCCTGTTGGCTGCATTCACTTACACTGCACAATCCACCCTGAGTCTCAGTGGAATGGTGGGCTGTAAATAACATAAATAAATAATAAATGCTCAGTAGTAATAATATTGGCACTCTCAATCAGAGGCTGCCGATATTGAAATTCAGGGCTGCTGCATATGTTAGCTGTAGAAAAGAGCAAGAGTCCAGTAGCACCTTAAAGACTAACAAAATTTGTGGCAAGGGAGGAGCTTTCGTCACGAAAGCTCATCTGCTGCCACAAATCGCGTTAGTCCTTAAGATGCTACTAGACTCTTGCTCTTTTCTGCTACTACGGGCAGACTAACAAGGCTCCCCATCCCTAAAGTGATCTTAGGTAGAGATAGTGGGGCTTGTGCCATTATACTTCCACTACATTGTGATGATTGCATTGAAGAGGAAATCTGATACGAGCAAATGTTCGTGTTGGAGGTAGCTGAAAAGCTGCAGCTGTCAACATTTCTTCAGTGATGCAGCTGCTGCCTTCTGTGATGGCTCTTTGGTTGTCACCTGTCATGTTCACAGCCCTTTCTGCTGCTATTGGTTTAACTTCTCTGACATCGCAGGAACTGGCATGGATTCCTGTGACGGACTGAGAAGGGAGTTTTAATTCGGAAGTCAGCAGCATTGGCTGAGCTAAACTGTGTATGTACTGTTTTCACTTAGAAATTTCATTTGATACTGCAAAATTAAGTTTGCTATTAACATAAGAACATAAAAGGAGCCAGTGCTGGATCAGGCCAGTGGCCCATCCAGTCCAACACTCTGTCACACAGTGGCCAAAAATACCAGGTGCCATCAGGAGGTCCAGCAGTGGGGCCAGGACACTAGAAGCCCTCCCACTCTTCCCCCCCCCAAGCACCAAGAATACAGAGCATCCCTTGCCCCAGACTGAGAGTTCTTATCTGTACCTTGTGGCTAAGAG